CCTTTAGTTAGATAATTTGTAATAATTTGTATTGAGATAGTAGTGCAAGGGAGCCAGCTTGGAGCAGTGGCTACTTTACAACACACACAGGGACCATGGGGAACAAAAGTAACCACCCTCCAGAAGGAGTCTCAGCACCAATTCAGAGATGATTGGAGGATCTACAGCCAAGTGATATACAAAAAATATAAATTTTTGTTAATAGTACCTGAATTTTAAGTGACTTTTTCGGGAGTAAATAAATGTTGTCTATTTTATTTTTCCATGATAAAGTCCCTTTAAAACAGTGTATAAATATGCCCGAGAATCACATATTTTGGAAAGGCATCAATATTACCTAAACATTCGGTTTGCTGAAGAACCCCTGTAGGCTATATTATTGAAAAAGACTTCCAGCTCCTGATCATTATCGAAGTCAGCAGCGATTACTGTGCGGACTGGCGAAGGCATCGAGAATTTCTGAGAAGCAATATCCTGTTGGAAGATGAAAAAGATACAACAGTTCAAAATCACATGTTATTAGAAGGTAACTCCATAACCTAGTACGTTACAGGCTATAGAACGAGACCACAAAGTAATCAAGTGAATTTTCAAATTAAAATGGGAGCAAAATCATTTATATGCTTATTTAGAAGCCTCGACAATCTGATGACACGGAATAGTGAGAGCAAAAAACAACATATTCCCAGATATATTTAATTATTGCTTATATGTGCTGATAAATTGTTGTTTCATTTCCTTTGACAATCAACTTTGCAATTCAAAATCTTTTCCATTTGATTTGTGTTCCTGCATACATAAGAAAATACCTTTATTTTTTTCTTTGGTCTTGCTGAGCTTGCCTGAAGATATTATTTTTGTGTGCAGATACCTATTTCACCATCTGTCACGGTTGCAGTGCAAGTAAAATAAATAAAATATATGCCCTAAATATCTGTATTACGCTGTCTATGTACATTTTGCTGAAAATATAAACCAGAAAAAAAAAGAATTTTGTGTTGTCCATTACATAGCATGTCAGCCTTTTCCTTTAGCTTTCAAACCTGCACTAGAAATCTAATATAAAAAGCTGAGTTTCCAGATTACAGTAGGGCTGTACATTACAGAGGGACCTTAATGCAGCCTGATATACTTCAATGTATACAAGAAAAAACAGCTTTTTCTTTTGTTAGACAGAAAAGCCTTTTACTACTGTGCACCCATTTAATTCTGCTTTTCATTTGATACAAAAGTAGAACTCAACCTCCCTAAATTCACGCCAAAGCATAGCTCTCAACGACACCTCATTTGGAAGGACTGTTTTGTAAACCAAATCCACCTGGTGCTCACTCATCAGTAGTTTATTTATCAATGTTTCAATGGAGCTTAGTCCATCTTTATCAAGCAAAACATATTTAAGATAGACTGAGCTCCATCGAAACATTGACAATAAATTGAATAAACCCACATGCCCACTGCACCAATGCACACTAACTCACTGCCATTGAACCGACATGCACTACTCCATTCTCCACCACTGCACTGATATGCACTACTCCACACTCCACTAATATGCATTACTCCACTCTCCACCACTGCACCAATATGCACTACTCTCCAGTAGACATGTGCGATTCGTTTCGTTCCGAATCGAAATTCGGACAAATTTTCGGAAATTCGGACATTCGGATGTATCCGAATTCCGAATTACAGATATAACGAATGCAAACGAATCCGAATTTCTGTTTCCGAAATTCGGTAGCGGTAGTTCGTTTGAACGTTCGTTTCGTATCCGTTTCGTATTCGTTTCGTTCGTTGGAGCAAAGTGACATTAGAGGAGAAAATTTTTTTGCCCCTTCAAATGTCACTTTGCTGCAAACGAACGAATGGACGAAACGAATAAGAAACGAAAACGAAACGAACAAATTTCGTCCGAATCCAAATTACGAATCCGAATTGACTTTCACACCTGAATCCCGAAAAACGAAATAACACAAATCCGAATTTAAAACGAAATGTAACTAAACGAATTGTTTGGCAGTGCACATGTCTACTCTCCACCACTGCACTGATATGCACTTCTCCACTACAACACTGATATGCATTACTCCACTCTCCACCACAGCACCGACATGCACTGCTCTACTCTCCACCACTGTACTGATATGCACTGCTCTACTCTCCACCTGTAACACTGCTGTATGTCTGTATGAAGGGTGTATGAATCTCAGCTGCGGCTATCACTGGGCCAGGTATAAACTCAAGAAAGGTGCTTTAAGTATAAGTAACACTCAATTACTCTTTGTGAACAACATAAATGGAATCTGCTCTCCAAGTTACCTCACTCCAGGGAGTCAAACAAAAGTCAGTAAAGCAAGATAGTTCTGGGTAATAGTTATTCAATATTCCTCCTTTTGTTACATCACAGCACAGAGGCAAAAGTCATTAGGAATAACTAACAAAAGATACTTGCTGTTCAGGAGTCTGAACGTAGTGTTCCTTTCCGGAAGATAAGGTTAGTTTGGTACATACAGTCCTCTTCCCAACTGATTGAAAGTCATGATCAAGTGGTTGCTAAGGGAGATCTCAGCTTGGAAGCAACAGGTGTGTAGTGGTTTTTGGGTCAGACTGTTAGTACCGCACATGGATGTCCTGGAAGGGTTATTGGCAGCAGACCTGGAGGCTCAATCTGGGTGGACTCAGAGTCACTGCTGTGAAGAGGGCTGCTACTGATTATGAAGTCAAGGATAGAGAGAGATCATCCAGCCTGCTTAGAAGTGAAGATGGAGAGAGGCATGCAGGCTGTGTGTCACTACTTCAGAATGGAGAGTGTGGGTTCAGCTGCCTTGTCTGTGTTCATTGCAGGAACACCGTACAAGTGAAACTGTCGGCTTAAACTGACAAGGAGGGAGGAGAGTTGTGATGTCGGTGGAGAGGAGGCGGAGCTACCCTTCTTGTTTGGGATGCTGGAAAGGTAAGTTTCTTACACCACCACTGCACCAACTGTACTCCACTTGCTGCCACCTAACTCTTCCCATTCAATATGCCCATGCACTGCACCAGCATGCACATGCCCACTGACTGTCAATGCCCTGACACACACTACCCCAATGACTGACACCCACTTCTTCACTTTAAGTATTTGCAGCAATGAGCACATATACACCAATGCACCAACAGGCACTTCTGTCCTCACCGCCAATTCTATAGCAAGCACATTAAACGAATGGGCACACTTTTGCTAATATTATATTAAAACATACTACTTAATGTTCATTAGGTATTTGTTGTTAATGTAAGCTCTAAACTGACCTGTATTAAAAGGCAACAATTTCTAAATTCCCCATTTTCAGTTACAACTAATACAGTTGAATTTGGGTGGATTTATTTTTGGCTTTGACAAGACAGTTTGCAAGCTGGTGGGGTCCTGAACATATACACCTGTTGTAAGCAGGCCTTTGGGGCTATTATTAGGGGACCATTAGGTTTTCTGCAGGAAGGGGCATCCAAAAACACAAAAGAGGCATAGGTAACAGCAATTCCTGGCATTCTGCCTTAAGTTATTATAAACTGTATATAGTACCAGCAAAGTGTCACAGCACCTTTGTGGCCTTTAGTGGGTGCTTGGTAACCTTCACTATAAATCCCAAACTGCAATCCAAAACTGCAGTAATTTTGTCTACATGTGCAAGGCTGCCATTCGAAAATTAGGATAAAGGTAATGATGATAACAGCATTATTGATCCAGATGTTCTGGTCTGTTCACATTCCCATCAGCATATTGTCTTATCATAATCCACTTTTGGAAGTCAGATTTTACACCTGCACCTTTCATGTCTCCAGAAATAATAATAAGATTTGCAATGCAATTTAAAAAGAGCAGATTTAAGCCATTGGAAAGGAGATTTGTCTTTTTTGTTGCGCTGGGTTGTGGTGTGATTATATTCTATGAAAAGTCATATTAGATGCTGCCGTTCTTCTCACCTAAAGAGCTGCAGCACCGGAGGGACAAAAGCATACATTTTGATGACATTCAGCTGGCTGATGATTGCAGAGGTCTGGGCTGAATTGTATTAAGATTTCAATTATTTTTAGTGCGGCATGCTGGATTCAGAAAATGAAAGGAGCATCTGCTGAGTGACAACAATCACTACACAATATACACAGAATTACCTGAATAAAGGTTGGATTTGAAGTTGGTCACTATGATGCATCATTAAGTGCAGCACAGTCCCCTTCAGTTGCTATACAGGCTATCATACAGCTTATTATTGAGCTGCCTACCAAAAATATTTTTTTGTGTTTTTGGCAATGTGCTGCTCCTTTGAATGGAAACTTCTCTAATGGGATCCTGCAAAACTACTAAGACCTTGCAAGGGATCATTCCCACTCAATTGTACAAAATCCCACCACTCTTGCCTCTGAAACGCCACTGCTCACAAAGCTACACCAACCCAAAAATATTTTTTCTTCTCTTTTTTTAAGATAGTTTTTATTTATATTACATTTAACAAATCATGTTACAACAACATTCAAAAACAATAACCCAGCACAGGCCAATCAAAACACCTTTTGCCTCTTATTTCGTAAAGCATGGGGATAGGAAAATGCAAATTGCAAACCACAGTATACTGTTGGAAATCAGTGACATAAAACAAACAAACAAATATAACTCTCAGTATATTGACAGTAAAGTAGGTATCACATTTAAATCAACACTGGGATTTTGGAGGGAGAAGCAAGCCAAGGACCCCAGACACACTCACAGGTTTTTCACAAAAAGGTGAAGAGTTTGGAGAAGGGAGGAGAAGTGAACAATCTAGGACAAAATAGCTGATTTAGAAAAATTCTGCAATTCAGCTCACTTTCCAGTTCAGCTATGTTGTTCTAGATTGTTCACTTCTCCTGCCTTCTCCAAACTCTTCACCCTTTTGTGAATAACCCTGTCAAAGAAATGAGGCCTGACCCTTTGCTCAGATGTAATCTTATACAAAGGCAAAACTTGGTCCATCACCCTCTTTCAGTTGTTCAGAGAGGGCGTAAAGGTTTGTTCCATACCAGAAGAATAGTTTTTTTTCACATAGAAAAAAAAATAATTCTAAGAAGGCATTTGATATAGACTGAGTGGCCAGATTATTATGACCATCCCATCAGTACTTCGTTGGGCCACGAGATGACTCCACAAGATGACTTTGTTGGGCCGCCTCGTGACTCCATGAGGTGCTGAAAGGTGATGCAAGGAATCTGTCACTGCCCTGTTGCCCTTCTGTTGTATTGTACCAGTCTTGCCACACTCCGTTCTCCCCTAACATTGACTTTTTGCTGACGGCCACAATTCGCACGTTCAGACCCGGATTTTCGGCTGACAGTCCAGTCTTTAAACACTTTAACAACAGCTGCTCTTGAACATTTAACGAATTCTGCTGTTTTGCTGATACTCGCTCCATGGCTCCGAGCGCCAACAATCATCCCACGTTCAAAGGCTGTTAAAACGC